TAGAACCAAGGCACCCATTTTCTTGTTGGTCATTAGCCAGGAGCATTCTCAGCTCCCGAGGGCACCTCGCTGGCCCTTGTACTTGGCCCAGTCCATCTACAAAGCCAACAAAGCTGTGTCATGTCTTTCTAATGGTTTCTTATCTTTCTGAATTCTCCTTCTCCCCACCAGTGAAGACCTCTGCATTTAAGGGATCATGTGATCATAGTGAGCCCAGCTGGATAATCTCCCTTTGTGCAGCTGTGCCATGGGACAATGCGCATGGACTCATGGGTTCCAGGGAATGATGTCATGGAATCTTGGAGGCCAATTTTAGAATTCTGCCTGTGATAAAATTTCTCATACTTTCTTAGAGATGTGTGATATGGTTCCTAAAATATATCCCCATATTTGGTTACATTAATACTGGGAAAATATCTCTAATGGGGTTGTAATTATGCTCCTGTCTTCTGCACTGAATAATCCATAGCCAAAGTATTGCATCTCATTCTAGATGTCAGAAATAGGAAGGAAGGAAGTATATATAAAACTGTCTTAGTCTGCTCAAGCTACTGCAACAAAATACCATAGATTGGGTGGGTTATAGACAGAAAAAATTTTCCTCACAGTCCCAGGGAGTGGAAGTCACAAGATCAGAATGCCAGAGGATGTGCATATCCAATGAGGTCCTTATTTCTGGTTCTCACACAGCTAACTGCTTGCTATAACATCACATGGCAGAAAACACAAGGGGTCTCTTTAATAAGGGCACTAATGTAATTCTGCCTTCAGGACCTGATCACTTCCTGTTGTGTCTTAAAAGTGAAACATTCCCCCAAAGACTCATGTATTAAGGGCCTGGTTCCCAATGCAGCAGTATTGAGAGGTGGGTCTTAAAGAGGAGGTTGCATCATGAGAGTGCTGACCTTGTGAGTGAATCAGTCCTTCGTAAGGTCAGAGGTGAAGGGGCTATTAGGATATGTGAGAAATAGGTCACCTGGGCACATCACTGAAGGGTGTATGTTGTCCCAGTCTTTTTTTGTGTGTATCTGTCTGTCTGTCTCTGTCTCTGTCTCCTCTCTCTGCTTCTCCATTGCCATAAGTTAGGCAACTCCCTCTGCCATCCCCTTCAATTCCCTTTACCCCTTTCTGCCTCATGTCAGCCCAACAGCAACAGAACCAGTCAGCTGTAAATTAGAATCTGTAAAACTGGGAGCCAACATAAATCTTCCTTTAAGTTGACTTATGTTGTGTACTTTGATCACAGGGAAGCAGAACTAACACATCTCCCAAAGACTCTGCCTCCTAATACCATCATTCTGGGAGTTATGATTTCAACCTAAGAATTTGTGGGGGTATAAAGCTTCAGCCCATTGCAAAAACTAAGATCAAAATTGATTCAAAAGGCAAAAGATTCATTCAATCTGAAGAGAAACCAGAAATTCCATTTTGCCCAGCTATTCCCTTTCAAGACATCCTCCTAAAAGAGGTAAAGACAATATATTACAGTTATATATGTATATCTATGTTAACAGTGAAATTCATAATATCTATGTCTTGGAAGCAGCCTACATGTCCATCAACAGACAAACATTACACAATGGAATATTATTTTGCTTCAAAAGATAAATTTGAGTTATTTGTAGTACAGTGTACCTTGAAAATGTTAAGTGAAATAAATCAGCCACATAAGCTTAAATGATTTATCTCATATTAGAAACCTAAAGTATATAAAGAGAAAAATAAAAGGTAAAAGGAAACAAAAAGATAAACCTGCTACAAATGGGAAGGAGACCAAGAGACAGAGAAGAGGATAGGAGAAAAAGGGAATATAAAAAACAATTATTAAGGTGTGTCATGTGTGTGTACCAAATACCCACAGTCGTTATATATAATAAACATAAATAATATTTTTTAAAAGAAGACATATGGGACCGTGTCTTGGACAAAATCTCCAAAGAGACAAATTTAAGTGAATGTAAAAATAAATAGGAAATTTGAGTTATCTCCTACATATTAAACATACTGACCTTAATTGAAATTGTTTTTCCAGGAAGCACAATAAAGACACATATCCCAAGGTGACACACTATTCCTCCAACTAGAAAAAGAAAAAAATGTCCAGCACATTTCATCAGACCAGAAGAAAACTGATACCAAAAAAAAAAAACCTCTACAAAACAAGGAAGTCACAAGAATATCTCTCACATCAACTTAGATGTGACCTTCCAAAAAAATTCAATCTGGGCATGATGGTACACACCTATAACTCCAGCTATTCTGGAGGCCCAGGCAAGAGGATGGCAAATTTGAGGCCAGCCTGGACTACACAGTCCCAAAATAAAATAAAAAGAAGTGTGGGTCAGAGAAAATTCATATACATTGTATCTGAAATAATACAATAAAAGAAGGTAATACATCATAGCCACATCAGGGTTTTTGATTTTTTTGGTTTTGGTTTGAAAGGTGAGATTACTGTAAAATTTAAAAATTCAGTGAATGTCACCGAACACATTAACAGATTATATGAATGTTATATCAATAGGTACAGACAAGCCTTTCAATAAACTAGAGCAGTCTCCCATACTAAAAAATAAAAACTCATGAGAATTAAAAGGACAAAAAGGGATTTAAATTCCTGGCTTATGAAGGGTGGCAAAAGGAATTTAACCTAGAGGGGAAGATGCCAAGGTCATATGATAACTATCTTTGAATATTTTAAAGACTATAATGTAAGAAAAGAATTTGTTCTGCCTATTTCTAGGCATAAAATCAAAACCTGTTGATGGAAGCTACCAAAAAATTTTTGGCTCACTGCTGGAAAATGCTTTCTAATATAGTTAGACAGACAGAGCAAGGTCACACATGGGAGGCTCCTTCCCTGCAGCTGCTCTCGTGTAAAGACACGGTGACCTCCTAGCTGCCTTTATAACTACTTCATTAGTCCAAATCTCCTATTATAATCTCTTCTACCTGCTACGGTTGTGCTTGCTCTCAACCATGACACTGAAAGTCACAGTGTGAAATCCAGCTTCATCAAGTTTTTCTTTCCAGTTGCTTATTTTTGAAATCAAAATCAAGTAATAGAAAATATGAAGTGACAGGTTAAAAGAGAAGAAGAAACAGGAGTCTCAAGAAGACTCCTCAGGGGATGCAAATGCACAAGTCCAGGTCCAATGGAACTGCCTCTGTAGAAGTGATCCTAGGGGTAAGAATCTGAAAGGAAGGAAGACCTGATACCCAGGGTAAGCAGAAGGAAAAAGCATAGGCGGGATATAGCTGGCATTGAGTTAGATTCAAGGATGGCACACGGTCCTGGATGCCAATGAAAATAGAATACAAAGAACAAGATTCATGAAGCAGATTTATGGTTAGAAACTCAGTGGGAATTGAAGAACCCATGGAAAAGCTTTAAAAATCTGAACCAATCTAAGCAGGTAGCCTGACTTAGTCCTGGGTGGAGAGGTGACTTGCAGAAAACCCAATAGGCTACGGGTTCAGATGTCAAAAATGAAGGCAGAGGTAAAGCTCCAATGGAGTACAGAGTAGTTATTCAACACAGATGCAGGCAGCTCCTCGCCAGCCTTGGAGGCCAGTGTCTGACATCAACAAGCTGCTGAGCACTGGCTGTCAAAGAAAACAAGTCCAAGTACTTCGGAGGCTGATTCATAGTCAGAATATACACAATGAGAGATCTGATCAAACATGCAGTACTGAAACCTGGTCTCTTGTGTGGTGTTTGCCAGCGTGAAGTGAATCCAGGGAGTGGAATTGGACAGTACAGTAAAAGGCATGCAATACACTGCTGAGTCACAATCGTTGGGTTAAGAAGTGGCCAGAAGTAACCAGATCCCAGATTTGCAGAGTGAACTGTAGACAGCTCAAAGTCCTGAAAGCCGCAAAATGTGTTACTTCACCCTCCAAGTTTCTTAAACATCTAGAGAAATTACCTTCTTAAATATAAAAAATAGTGATGGACTCTTGTTTCAGTGCCGTTTTGCAGGTGGAGGAAGCATACAGATAGGCGTCTCACAGGCCGCCTTTGGCTTCTTTACTAATATTCTGGCTTTTTTTATCAACTTCCTTAGCTGAAGACGTGCTCTAATACACAGCTCACAAAAGGAACTAGAAACTCTTACCTGGTCATAAGTAGCTCAAACTACCTTTTTAGGGGGAAATATTCTCACCTAGTTCTAAAATAGCAAGACTCAATAGTTGTTCAAGTATGTTTGCATCCTGAGTGCTCCTGACAGATGAGCTAGGAGTGGAGGATTAAAGTGCATATTGGCATGGGCTGAATGTTTGCATGCCCTTCTATTCGTAACGCTGAAGCCCTAGCCCCCAGTGTAGGGGAGACAGACCTTCTGTTTTGCTCTAGTTACTTCAGAGACATAGAACTTTTCTCCCAAACTGAATTCTAAATGTCTAAATAGCAGCGCCATCATTGTTTAATTTGTTTCCTTTTACTTTTGGAGGAGAGGCTACCAAGGATATTAGCAAATGGCTTGTTAATACTTCTTTCCCTTCGCAATGTATTGACTCACCTAACTCGGCTTCCACCCCATGCAGGACTCTCCTCTCCATTAGTCTCACCGATGACCCTCCCCCCACCCAGCTCCTTGGGACAGGAGTCCTCAGGACAGAAAGTTTAGGAGATGCAAGACACAGTGTTTTAATGGGAAAGTACACAGTGGGCCTGCAGGTCCCTCCCTGAGGTCCCACATCATATAAGAACTCTAATTGTGCTTATGAATCTGCTCTTTTCCATCGTGGGATGTGTCATGGTTTATAATTCAGTGTTTGTGCATTTGTGCACATACTTCCTGTTTCTCTCACCAGACGGTTAGCAGGCTGAGGGCAAGGCGGGACCAAGGCCACTGTGCTCCCCATAATACCCTCAACACAGCGTGGGGCCTGGCCTTTATCAGGTGCTCAGTGCCCTTGTTAAATGAATGGAGATTCCAGGTAAGTCTTGCATTTTTGTTCCTCCAACTTAAAAGCATACTCTTCTGCTCTTTCAGACGGCACAAGATCTACAGAGAACAGCTGAACCTCACCTCCCTGGAACCCCCACTGCAACTCCAATTTGATGCCAGCTGGGTCCAGTTTCACCTGGGAATTAGTCGCCAGGGCCTGTACTCCCGGTCCAGTCCCATCGTCAATAAGCTCCTCCATGACATGAGGCACTTGCCCTCCATCAGTGCTGGTGAGGTTCCAGGGATCACGCAGGTGGGCTGACTTCCTCCCAGAGGGGATGGGTGGACCCATCTCAGGCCAGATGCCTCGGTTAAACATCACAGAGCTACCACTGACACATGATAGATAGGTTAATAAGAAAAAGTTTACATCTCAAAGAGCTCTTCTAATTTTAATCTATCAAAATCCCATAACTGAGGCACTAGGATCCTAAAAGGAAGATGACTACTAATATTTACTGAGTGTTTCTTTTGAACTGAGCCACATGTTCCCTCTTAAACAGTTCTGGAATGGACGTTATGATTCCCATTTTACAAGTGGAAAAATCAAGGCTTACAGAGGTAGCATGGTAATCCCAGCACTGGAGATAGGATTCAGTGATTCAAACACAGATCTGCTGACCCCAAGCCTGTACTCGCAGACACTACGGCAGTCTATGTGACACAGACTTATCAGCAGAGACAATACTAGAGTGTGTCTCCAGGGGTGCTGGAATGTCCACTGAAGGGACTGGAGCAGAGCAGCAGGAAGACTGCAGCCCCGGGCTCTGGGAGATACTGTCCTGAAGGATCAAGGCTGAGATCCACAGGGTATACCACAGCCACCCCTGCTGCTGGTCTGTGCTTAGCTGTTCATGGAACATGGTTGCAAGTTCTCATGGTCTTCTCTTCCTTTCAGATTACAGTCAGGATGAGAAAGCCTTGCTGGGAGCATGTGACTGTACCCAGAGTAAGTGCCTTGGCCCCGCATCCATCTAGATTTCTCGCCGTATCACAGCCACATGAACCCCAGATCCACTCCAGTGGGGGAATCTCTGAAACCTGGAACTTCTCCCCACCCCACAAAAAGGAAAGGCATTGAAGAGGAATTCTGTGTAGATCATACTGGTCCAGGGAAATCGTCATTGGCATCATTTGTTAGAAATGCAGAATGTATCTCCACTGATTTTTCCAAATTAAAATGTAAATTCCCAAAACGCCTCAAGTTATCGCAGTACAAGCATACGAGACAGTGGTTTGGGTACTGGCAACATATCAGAACCACCTAGAAAGCTTTAAAAAGTGATGTCAAAGGTTAAGAGTTCAGAGTGCCGTAAGTCTCCACCTCCAGATTCAGTGACCCAGGAGTCAGCATGTGTAAATGGCACCAGGTGACTCTAATGTAGCCAAGGTTGTAAGCCAACAGAGCCAAGTCATCAACAGAGTAAAAAAATCAATAATTATTATTGCTAATAATAGTTATTAATATTAATAATTGTTATCACTATAAAAGGCTTGCTGGGAATGAAGTATTCATCTGCAGTCCCAGCTACACAGGTGTTTGAGGCAGGATGGTTTCAAATTTGAGGTAGCCTGGGTGATTTATCAAGATCCTGCCTCAAGATGAAATAAAAAAGGAAAAAAAGGGGCTGAGAACGCAGCTCATTTGCCTTGCATGAGTAAGGCCTGGAGTTCAATCCCCAGCACCTCCAAAAAAACAAACAAACAACAACAAAAACTTGACACTCAGCTAGTGATGCGTTTACCTCCACATGCTGCACAGACACCAAAACCGTCTACATGTGATGTGGTGTGGAAGCCCCAGGCTTCCCTTCCCCTTAATTCAGCACCTGCCATTTGCCGTTCTGTAGAACCAAACACCGTCCTGACCCTTGAGGGCCTCAACAGAGCTGGAGAAGTGAAGCAAGATGGGGGGAAGAGCCGGGGGCAAACTGAAGGGAGCAGCACCCCGCTGTCCCTGAAGTCCAGAGCTGCCAACCTCATCCTAGCCCAGGTGCAGAGTCCTCAATAAGAAGCGGTGTCATTAAACATGTCTAATAGATCATGTGACAGAATCGGAATCTATAAGGTTGCAATTGAAACACAAACAGGAAAGGCTGGGTTCTTCACAGTAAAACATTCTTTGGGGTTTTCAACTCCCTCTGTTTGGGGATCCCAATATATCGTTTGCCCTTTCCCGGACTGGCAGAAGAGGTTCTGAGCCCCTAACACACCCTCCATGGCCTGACAGCATGGAGTTCGCCCTGCTTTGGGAAGCAAATCTTATCTTAGGGTCTGTTAAATACAAGAAAAGAGAAGAAATCAGCTGCATTTGTGGAATGACAGAAGCACCATTAACCTCCCCTTCACCTCCCCAGTTGTGAAGCCCAGTGGGGTCCACCTGAAGCTGGTGTTGAGGTTCTCAGACTTTGGGAAGGCCATGTTCAAACCCATGAGGTAAGAGATGCCCTCTCTGCATCATAGCTAGTGCGGCAGCCCTGGGGAGCTTTGACCAAAAAGTAACAAGCATGGCCCAGCGGCTTCAGCCAGTCATTCACTTGGGAGACTCCGTGTAAGACATTCTGCGCCAAGCAGACAATTGTTTTTCATATCACAGTGAAAACAGAGCTTGTCCTTTCTTAGCTCCTATGCCACATACTCTACATCTACTACATCTTTGGATCATTCCAATCTGATGAGCCAAGTGTCACTCTACTGTCCCCACTGAGGTGAAGACACTGAGGCACCGAAGGGCCAGCTTTTCCCAATCTCCCAGCTGCAAACAGTGGACCCGAATTCAAATCCAGACATGTGACCATCATCAATTTACACTTTCCCACTATCATAGATCGCCACTCTTTTCCAGGCCTAGAATTCTTTGTTTGTTTGTTTTTTGAGACAAGGTCTTGCTTTGTAGTTCAAGCTGGCCCTGAACTCTCTACATAGACCAGGCTGGCCTCAAACTCACAGCAATCTTCCTGCCTCAGCATCCTGAGTACTGATTACAGGAGTGTACCACCACATACAGCACATTCTTTTTGATGTCAAAAAGTTTACATACCTCTACCTGATGGCATTTGTTTTGAAAAATTAGACAATGAACAAAGGTGACATCAATTACAGGATACATTAACTTATATTTTATTTGTAACAATAGCAACTTACCTACCTCTGAATGTTGTAGTACACATCTATGAGTGAAACAGTATGTGTCTTAGTGTATAGATAGAGCTGGATGTGTGGATTTTCTGGGACTCAAAACTGTCAGAAAACCACAGTTAGCCCCCCTGAAGTAGGTGTCCCCATCTTAGCCCACTGGAATGTTCCCCCACAGATGACATGAATGAGCCAGATAACAAGAGGACTCCCACCCACCGAATCATGTGTTCCTCTAAAATGTCTTCAGGTAAATAAGTTTTCAAAGATGTATATGAAACAACTGAATTTCCACTTACATTCATTGAGTTTTAAGTCCCATCATATAAAACAACTTATAAGTTTACAAATATCCCCTCCTACAGGCACACATTCCACTTGCTGAAATTTTTTTACATCAGTCATCATCATCATCAAACTTTGAAGTCAGTGTTAAATCAACAATGAAACTGTGCCCCCCTCCCCACTCCCATCACCACCACCAACTGGTTTTAATCAGTTTCATCAAACAATAAAACCAACACTGAGGGAGATCATTTCAGGTTAATCTATCTCAACCAAAATAATGTAATTAAGAAGAGTTCCATCATTTGAAAAACAAAATGAGAACTTGAATATACAAAGCCTATTTCTCTGAGGGATGGTTCTGAGACGGTTTTGCCTCTTACATTCAGGCAATTAAAATCAACGAACTAATTTACTTTCTCTATTTATTTTATTTATTTTCAAGAGATGAGGTTATATTGCCCAACTGAGCTTGAACACCTGGGACCAAGTGAATCTCTTTGTTTGCCCCAGAACCTGGATTTTGCTTGTTTATGTGTGGTACTGGGGATTGTACTCAGGACCTTCACACCAAACTACCTGCCCAGCCTCTCTTTGATACTGATACTATCCCAACTGAACAGGAGAGTCACCAGTGAATTCCTGCAATATGGAGTCCTAAATTATGGTCATACTTAGTTATGCACATTTATTGAGTATTCACAAGAGAGCACCAGTTAGAGGTAGCACAAGAAATACTGATGTAGGAATAGAAGACATTAAGCAAAAATGTCATGATAAATCTGCATATTCACCATGAATTACTAAACACATAAATTCCACTCTAGAGCAAAAGCCTTCTATGGCACATAAAAACGTCTCTAAATCATGCAAACCAGAAGGTAATACAGAGCAGATGAGTTCCACTTGCACTTTTCACATATCAGCAAGGGATGACTCTTCGTGTTGTTTGTAGGAACCCAAAGAACAGCCTAAAATCCCTGCTCTGCCCAGTCAGTTAAAATTAAAACCCAATACAAAAATTGTTCAAATGAACCAGTTCTCCCCCATCCCATTCCCCAAAATAATGCAAAAGCCTTCACTGCTTGCTAATAAATTTTTACCTCTTTTTAGGCTATAACCTAGTTTCATCTACAATTTTATAATACTGAGCCCAAAATTCAAATACAGTATCATTTAAAATGTATTGTAATTCTTTTTTTAAAATTCTTGTAATTTTTCTGTAATGTAAAGCAAAAAGCATTTGTTCCCTATCACAGAGGGAAAGTAGAAATTTATCTTTGACTACATGTACATTCTAAACGTAAGTAGGATGGTTTCAAATATGCTGCAGGACCCACCGTATGTGCTTCCCAAAAATAAGAAGCATTGATGTAAAGAAAAATGATTTTCGAATTTAAAACCACTTCTATCATATATACTATAAAGAAACATTTTAGCAAACCCAAAGGGCATTGAGAGATTGTATGTCCTGATGTTTAATTCAGGAATTAAAACATGATGGGAACAGACACAATCACTGCTGGCACAGAATTTGCTGATGCTAAGGGAAGTGGGTCCAGACCAGGCGCAGAGGCCACACTAGACGTGCGTCTGCACCTGCTGAAATACAATCTCTGCTTTTGGCAGCACCTTGCTGTGGTTTTCAGGAGGAGCTTATTTTCTTGGCGAAGTGCACGTTACTGTTTCAGCTGTGGGCGTTGCTTACAGCTCCATACCACGTTATCTTTATCTATGTGGTTTTAGCAGCCTTCGTAACAGTTCCATACTGTGAATTATGGAATTACTCAAACATCACGGTGCTGTCATGTTTATTATCAAGACAAAGTCATTTAGAGGTTGAAAGTCACCCTAGGATGTCTTAATGATGAGGAGGTGCTTCCCCGCCAGCCCATCACACTCAGGCTGGCCAGTGCTTTTCAGGAATCCATCAGTATTTTCAAGTGTATATAATCAATACCTTACACACCAGCTCCCCCATCCCTTTGTCTGGGCCCACGCTTACCACTCACCTTAGTGCCCATGAGGGGCTTAGTTCTAGGTTTCTCCCAAACTACCCGAAGACCAGAACTTCCCAGTTCAAACCTCAGTTGTGCTCAACTTCATATCCATGGTAGTCCTCATTACCAAGTTCTGGCTCACAACCACCTTTCTTCATCTGTGTGTGTGTAAATCTGCAAGGGCTCTGGTTCTGCTAGCCAATCCTCTCTCCTACATTTATATCTTCAAAGCAAGTCTGTATTTCACTCCTCAAAACTTCTAGGTTTTTGAAAGAGACAGCCACTGTCCCTAAAACTGAAGTAGGAAATTTGAAGTAGGGCTCAAAGCACAATGTCTTGCAGGAAACCTGATTTTTCTATTTTGCATGACTCTTACTAGCCTAGGAAGCCAAGAGCCATTCCTGATTTGCCATCCTATGTACACATGAAAAGCATGAAAGCATGTTTTTCTTCCTCGCTGGTCCTGCCTTGCAGCTCTCTTCTCAGGCTCACAGCTGAAGTCTCAGTCCAGGGCGTGACTCCTTCCTTCTTTCCAGACAGCAGCGAGACGAGGAGACGCCCGCAGATTTCTTCTATTTCATTGACTTTCAGAGACACAATGCTGAGATCGCAGCCTTCCATCTGGACAGGTGGGTCTGGCCCCACAGGACACAGTGTCAGCTGTAAGGGCCGATCCCCCGGGAGGGGGCACTGGACAGACCCTCAGGTGGAAGCATTCCCACACTTGTTCCTTCTTGCTTTTCATCTTTTCCCAACCTCAGTGTGGTGCCTTCAAATTCTCCCTACAACCCCATAGATTGAAAAAATACAGTCTTCTAATGTAATGAAATGAACATTTTTAAAGAAAATTAACCCTGTCACGATGCTCATGTTGCCACCTTGGCTGTGACACTGTCCTTGGCTCTATTCTCCCGACCTAAAAATGTGAAGCTGCCCAGCTCTAATTACCCAAGGCGTCTTAAATGACAATATGAAGTGTCAGCACACACTCCCAGGTTCCTCATATTTGCTCATTTGCTGCTAGCAGAAGTGTGGTCTGTGGATTCCTATCATGGACACCAAACACTTTTTAGAAATGCAGAATCCCAGGTGACTCTTCAGCACATTTAAGTCTGAGAAGTGCTGACCAAGAACAGCCTGGAAGGTCTGCAGAGTTTTGATGGACTAAGGGGCCTTCTCTGCCCCTTCAGCCTGGGTTTGCCCTGGACATGACCAGCTCTGCCCTTGCAAAGATGCCCTCAGTAGCCCCTGCTGGGGGAAGCAGGAGCACCAGCCATGTCTCCTGTGTGCTAACCCAGAGACAGAATCTTTCCTTGCTTTCTAACTAGCCTCCTTCTGACAGAACTCCGTCTTTTTCAGGATTCTTGACTTCCGACGGGTGCCACCAACAGTGGGAAGGCTTGTGAATGTCACTAAGGAAATCCTAGAGGTTACCAAGAATGAAATCTTGCAGAGTGTTTTCTTTGTATCTCCAGGTAGAGTACAAGCCAGAGCCATATTCTTAGCATAAGTACACAGTGAGGCAGTGTACACATTGTCACCTTTGGCAGTAGTTTGACCCCCTGAGCGTGGCATTACTGGCATGGCAATGCTGCCATCAGACACTCCCATCTTGGTCTGTTTGAGCATGACACAGGATGAACTCTGGATGGGGAAAGGTGTGTGTGAGAGCTGCCATACCAGCCTGTGTGGGTACAATGCTGGCTTCCCTGGAAACAGACATTATCCCACCCATGGTAATGAAAAATATTCAAATCCTGTGGCTAGGATGCAAAGGAACTGGGTGCCACAGTCCCTCTGCTGTGAGACGCTTGAAAATTGGTACTTAGGATGCTTAGCTTAGCAGTATTCCCTCGTGCCCACATCTGGAAATAGCAAAGTTCTCTATTGCATTTTCCCCAAGCTGGGAGTTCAGGGTTCCCTATTCCAATCCTAAGGCATTTCTTGGGCAGAAAGACGGTAAGCCTTGAAGCCATTCCTTGTGTATGTCTCTGTTACAAAAAATATTGCACTGTTATGTTCAAAATCTGGCTAACTTGTCTTTCTGCCCTAACAGACCCAGGAGCCAGATCATAGCATCCGTCACCCCAATAATGCCCATGCTAGTGGCAGGTCAGACCAGTGCTGAATGTGACAATGGGCACACTGCCTCACCATGTGCTTCTCTCTCCTCCTTCATCCTCCAGCCAGCAACGTGTGCTTCTTTGCCAAGTGTCCGTATATGTGCAAGACCGAATACGCTGTCTGTGGTAACCCACATCTGCTGGAGGGCTCCCTCTCTGCCTTCCTGCCCTCTCTCAATCTGGCCCCCAGGCTGTCTGTGCCCAGCCCCTGGATCCGCTCCTACTCACTGGCAGGAAAAGAGGAGTGAGTTGGCACCCTGGCCACAATACCATGCTAATGGACCTACGATCCAGTCCTTGAGGCCATAGTTGGACTCCCGGAAGCTGCCTGTCTCACTTTATATAACGCTGGGATCAGCTGGACTGGATCTGTTCTTTCCTTTTAGTGCATTTCTTCGGTTATTGAAACCCTGCTAGGTGCTAGGAGACATAGAAATAGAAGGCACCAGTCCTCTCTTCAGGAAGTCTCGTGGGAATGAAAGACAAATTCCCAGATTATGAATACACACAGCAAAGTTTTCTGTAACAGAGCAGCACACAGGGAGCTGTGGGAGACACACAGCATGCCCTGAGCAAGACCTAAGAGGCCGAGGACCTACCGGCTGTATTCCTAGGCACCCAGGATTAGTTGACTGCAGTGATTAGGTCCACTGTCCATCTCGAGCACAGCAGAAAAACAAGAAGTGGGTGGTTTTAGAGGAACATGACAATCTATGAAGACTTAGGGGGAAAAGATAAATTGCAGGCTGAGGAATATCTGGAATGAAATGAGAGAGAACATCCTGTGGGGGAGAGGAATAATGCAAGAGTACAAGGGGCCCAGGGTAAGAGGAGTGAGAAGCAGCAGGACAGAAACGAAGCACCCGCCTCCCCATCCTGCCCCCAGTCCTCAGCCCAGCACCCTGAGTGGAGGTCTCAGAACCTCTCACCATGGGCATGGATTCTGCTTTCTTTGTGTCCTTGGCTACACAGACATCCTGAGAAGCTGTCACCAACTCAGGGTAGCGCTAGTAAGGCAGGGCTGTGAGCGCAGGGGAAGGCACAGAAAGGCCCCACGCCTTGTCATCTTGGCTGTTCTAGCCCCAGGCCTTCTTCTCACCCTTAGGTGGGAGATCAATCCCTTTTACTGTGACACAGTGAAACAGATCTACCCATACAACAGCGGCAATCGGCTCCTCAACATCATTGACATGGCCATCTTCGACTTCTTGATAGGTAGGTCCCCAGGCTTGGGGCACCTGGCACAGAGGGCTCTGCTGTGTGGCTGTGAACGCTGGCGACTCGGCACACAGTGACAGCCTGGTGCAGTACCTCCACGGCACAAGAGTGGTGGGAGCCCCACAGACAAAAGTAAACACACTTCCATCTTCAAAGTACTGGGAGGAGCTGAAGGGACTGTCACTGGTGAGGAAGGCCCATCACCTGGCATGAGCATGAGCAGCTGTAAAACCACATGTTCCCTTCACCCAGTGAAGGAAGCCAGGCAGAAGGTGAGACAGTACGCAATGAACAAATCATACCACTGGAGGGCCCAGGTAAGGCCCCAGGAAAGGGTAGGAAGGGAAACACAATCCCCAAGCTGGCCAGTACCCACATGCTGGAGCTAAACAAAAGGCTCACTGGCACTCTCTTCACAAAGGTAGCCCGGGCCTGCCGTCTCTCAGGTGAGGGTGCCAGCATAGAAGAGCCAACACCAATATGTACACGGCACAAGGGCACATTTCACTGCACGAGCATCCTGGCCGAGGCTAGGGGGAGGGGAAGGATGGAGACTTGGAAATGCCGGCTGCAGCCAGGTTTAGGCTCCCACTCTGGGCTGCTGGCAGCCTCCATTCCCTGGGGGCTCAGAAATCAGGAGCTTCTGTCCGCCTAGCCTACTGACTCTCATCACCTCCCTCCTTTACAGGAAACATGGACCGCCACCATTATGAGATGTTTACCAAATTCGGGGACGATGGCTTCCTTATTCACCTTGACAATGCCAGGGGGTAAGTGACAGTTCTCCGCTCCCAGCTGTCCCCTCTCCAGCCATGCTTTGTGCAGCTGCTCAGAGGGAACCACAGCCCTAAGCAGGAGGGTCTGCACTGTTATGTCCCATCTCTGTCTTGTCCCACTTTTCCATCTACTTTTTTTCTCATGATCTCTGCTACATCCGTCTGATTTTCCTTCAGCCCAAAAGTACTCTTGTGCCCTTTAGTGAAACAGGTTGGGATTTTCTCAAATTTTCTTAATCAGTACATGGCGAGGGGGCAGAAAACGTGACTCATCCTCACTGATGGCTCTCTGTAATTGGGGAGAAAACGAACAACTGCTTGGTTATTAACCAAGAGGCTTCTGGGACCGGACTGAAGATACGGTATTAGGAAAGGCAGCTGCCAAGGTCCCTGGGATTTTTAGTCAAACCAATGATTCAAAAAACAGTTGACACAGAAAAGAGAGAAAGCTTTAGGGGAATGAGAAAGATGTTGCTTGATGCAAACTGTTTTTTTACTTAGGTTTGGACGACATTCCCATGATGAAATCTCCATCCTCGCCCCCCTCTCACAGTGCTGCATGTGAGTTTTCAGGCAGAGGGTGGGTAACGGGGCCAAGAGCATGCTGCTTGCAGGCTCATCCTGATATTCAACGGCCTGGGATGGGGGTATGCAGAATGGCATGAATTGCCTCGTTTCCTATACAACCATCAAAATTCCTCCAGCAATGTCTCACTTTCTTATCATTCAGCGTAAAATCCATTAGGTTCTAATCTTTTAAAACTTTCAACTGCTAACTTTAATCCACTCAGATAATGACCCCCTTTTGCAGAGCCAGATGGTCCTTGATATTACTAATCAGACCTCTGCTTTACCCAGTACTCATAAAAGCTCACAGATATTATCTGATCACCATGTGAGCAAAGTCCTGATGAGTCCCATCAGTGTGAGTCACATAGAAAGCAAGCACGAGGCAGAGGTAGGGACGGAGGAAAGAGGGAACTGAAAATGATCAAAATGTACCAGTTCCCCAAAACAAGTATCATACATTGCAAACAACTGTTTTAAAAAAGAAAAGGCTCTGCTGCATTCATCTGACCACTGCTCCAGAGGACACCTAACCTACTCCTAGACCTCTCCAGCATTTCTGCCAGTCTTGTGAGACCGTCCACTGCTCGGCATCCAGAGCTATTATAAATACATGATCTACATCTAACAAAACCATCCTGTTTGCTGCCAGTGGAAAATTCAGAACAGGAACATTCTTATCAACGTCTTATGTGAATTTAAACCTATCTCCCTTCCTGCTTCCTTCCACCCTCCTGAGGATAAGCAATCGCAGCTTAGGACAAAAACCAAACAGTAAGGCCAATTGGATTCCTGCATAAAAAGCATCAAAATCCTAAACACAATAATCTCACCCCATTTCTGCCCCCGATTTTAGAACCTGACACAAAGAAACACGCTAGCAAGAAACAACTTGGAGGCCGACTTTTAAGATAACAGATGACAACAGTTCACTTCCCATTAGTTTAAAATGGCCTTGAAAATCCTAAATGTCATCTCTGGTTTGTCAGGGGAGAGCTGGCTTACTGAATCAGGGTCTCCCTCGATAGCCCAAAATGGCCTCAAACTGGTGGCAATCCTCTTGCCTCAGTCCCCTGAGTGCTGGATTAATGGGATGTGCCACCACACCTGGCTGGCACGTGGGTTTTATCAATGGCAAAGCAAATGCACACAGCCGAGCACCACCATGCGTGATATGACAATTACCAGAGGTCAAATGGTTTGGCAGGCTCCCAATCGAAAAGCTACCAGGGAAAAGCCTCGCACCTTTATCCATTCTCTTTTATTTTACATGGTTGCATTAAAATGTGCTTGAGCAGACAACAGCAATGAAGGCTCTAAGGATACCAGCAGCAACAGCTGTTCTTGGGCACAGGGCAAACAGAAGCTAGTTAAGTGTCCTCCTGTTTGCTTATTTGGTTCTTACAACTTTTGCCTTTTTAGGATAAAAAAGAAAACGCTTTTGCACCTGCAGCTTCTGGCCCACGCTGACTACAGACTCAGTGATGTGATGCGGGAGTCACTGCTAGAAGACCAGCTCAGCCCTGTCCTCACAGAACCGCACCTCCTGGCCCTGGACCGAAGGCTCCAAATCATCCTCAAGACAGTGCAAGGCTGCATAGAGGTCCATGGAGCGCACAGCGTCATAGCTGATGGCCCAGTACAACAATTAGCCCTAAACTCAGGCCAAGCGAACCTGATAAGCTAAGCACAGGAAGAGTCCGATTTTACAAGAGAGGCCTGGAGCCAAGGGTAGACTCCAGAGTATAGACCAGCACTCCCTCACTTCCACTTTACAGTCCCAGAGGCTGCATCACTAGCTCAGGAAGGAAGGAAGCAGGCTGTGTTTGGCAACAAATAGGATCCACTCAGTTTGATTTTTACCCCCTGGTTTAAAGATCACTGCTCCTATAGTGAATTGCCATGGCTCCGTTTTTGCAGAAAGCACTGCTTCCATCAAGGTTTACAGACTACCTTCTGGGAAACTGGATATGGTTCAGGCTTGGAAGATCTGGAAGGCCTGTTTCCAGGAGTTTAACAATCAAATAAAAAGATACCAAGTGAGTACCTGACTGTCCTCCAAATCCTTATTTATCTACAAGTAATGGATAACTCCTGGTCCAAATAAAACTTGTTGAATACCTCAAGCAGACTCAAAATCTGCAAATGGTTAATGATCAAACTGGTTCAACTCAAGACTTCACATTTTCTCCTTATGTTCTCATCTCTGGTCAAATCTGAGTACAAGAATCTCCACTCACCAGTCCTACGGTAACTTCTGAGAAACACTATCATAGAAGGTGGTCATAAAATAGGACTTTGCTTACAGTATCAGAAAAGGAGTGTTTGAATCTGAAGAATATTAAATACTAACTGAAAAATCAAGTATGTCAAAACTAGTAGTTCGTAACAATAGGATAGATTTTGATAGAGGACAAACAAGGGAAATTCTCAAGCCACGACAGCGTGAATGGGACCTTTCAGATACATGAACTTAGCATAAGGCAAGAAAAAGACGGGTACCTACCAGATCCCATAAGCTGCAGTCCTTTTCCCAGATAGCCCGGAATTGTCACCACCTCCCCACAAGAGCAGGGGCCATCTGGAAAGGTACCACCTTCCCCCTGGTGCTAGATTAGAAAGGACTAAATCAAGTTTCCCAACCTTCCCTTAAGGGACAGTGGAGAGTCCCCATCTTCTTTATCATCTCTTTACACTGTCAACATCTAAAACCCTTCAAACAGGAATCTTTGCATCTTGTTCTATAATTGAGGACTGAAACTACAATGACAGCAATGTATTCATTCCATGGAATGATTAGTCAACAGGTAAAAAAATCATTTCATCAGATAACTTCTTTTCTGATAAAACCAAAGGCTCAAACACTGGAGGGGAGTGGGGAGTATGATAAAGCTGTCACCAAAGGAAAAAAAAAGTCAAGAACTAGAAGTATCACCTACTACTTCTGTAGAATGTCCAAAGTCAGCCAAATGGAACAGGTAACAGTGCCTCTGACCATCCCGGTATCCCACCTTGCTAGGACGTTTACCCTAAACCTTGTCTCTCCCTAGTAACCACATCACTACCATTCACCCCCAGTCTTTACCATGTGCAGGGAGCTTTACCCATAACACAGTCAACACACACGATTCAATCCACCTAAACACACACACACGCAACCACCCTACCTCCAATGGGCAACGAAGACAACTGAAGCTTATAGGAGCTAACTAAAACCACACAATTTAATGGTTTAGACACATTCCAAAGTGTTCTTTCCGCTGTAATACAAAAATCCAACACAATCATACTTAATTTATGACTGAAGTTATGTTTGCTTAAAATGACAAAAGTTACCTCTTTAACAAAGTTCCCACCAGTTTGGAGCACTAGTGCTACACGCACGTATGACGGTCACATCAGGTGACACTGTACAGTTCCACTGGCTGAGTGAGCCACCCGATGGGACAGTCACTCGTGGACAGCCCAGTCATAAACTTGCTAATCCTAGAGACTTCTTGACCTAAGGTAGCCCAACTACATCTCAGAGCCCCACTTCAGGAACTGTCTCTTTTACTTCATTTTCCCTCCCCAACCTTGTGGAGGAGCCAGGAAATCACACCCCAAAACAGGGGCAAAAAATATCCCAGCAGACACTCGAAGAAAAGCACAACAGAGTTTGGGACTTCCAAAACACAGAGCCTCACGAAGATAAATTATAGCTCCATCTCAAATCCAGCCACCCCTGTGACCACAAACTACCTTTTAAATGGCCTATATTTTGCTGTACTTCTCATAACACAATTGAATTTGACTTTGACATGTTTTGTCTATATACATTATCTTCAACATTCCATTATTAGCAACACAAAATTAACATCACCATTTGTTAAAGATACCAGAAAACATCACATGCTTAGAACTACCACGTTCTTCTAACTTGTTTATTCTGAAGCACTGCTCAACTTCTCCTGAAATAAACACATATTCTCCTGACTCTATGTGAAAACTTCATATTACCACTAACAGCAAATAATATAGTATGTGAAAGGCGAAAGGGACCTGGGGAACTTCTTGTAGCCTTCTCCAAATATCAGAACAATTTGAGTCTGAAGACAGTGCTAGGTTCTATAAAGTTGTCGCTGACACTGAATTGGCAAATACTGCATCACTGCTCCCAGGAAATTCAGGGTTAGGTATCTGGGAATCTCTTATCTCATTTTTGCCAACTCAATGATATACAATTTTGCTTTATGTATTATGCTACCTTATTTTATACTGCCAATTCCTGGACAATGCACTCATGACCAACAGCACTAACTCACTCACTCACTCATGAACAAAGCTGAGCTAAGATATATGCTTCCTACATAAGGTACATCACAGCTTTTCTACAAGTAGGAACATTTGTCAACATGTAATCCCTGTACTTGGGGCCTTTTAAATAATGAAATCATCAACAAAAATAATAATGTGGCATTAGAAAGTCCAAGAAAATGACACTTATACAGAGCTGAACAAGAAGACTAAGTGTCCTTCTGGTCCAATTGAAATAGGCAAAGGAGACTCATCAAACTGCTCTGCCCAGTGTTTTTATAGCAGTTCTCAGAGAACTGAATGACTACAAAAGCACTCCAAGTATTGTAGTCACTTGAGGTTACAAATAAATCTTAGCAAGTAGGCAGATTTGCAAATACAGAAGACATAAATAAAAAGAACTGATTTAAGAATAACATAATTTTTCAGAGTTCTCCATCTAGTGGCAACTTTTAAAATCACAAAACTACTTACACAAAACTGGAACTTCTTCATAAAACCATAAAATAAACAAAAAAATCACACTCATCAGTGCTTTTAGTTTTAGATATAGCCACACAGTTCTGAAGTCATGTCAAGAAAAAAGTTTTAGCTATATGGTTTAGTACTCAACAATGTGAGTTTCCTCACTAAAATCCCATACCCACAAAACGCAGAGATTTAATGTAACACCTTTTAAGTTCATCTAACCTCAGCCTTTCTTATGACAGATGCCCTATGCAACAAATTAAATGGTTTATTTACTTACTCTTCCTTCCTGCTCTTTCACCTCAACTAAGAATACGCCAGACCTAACAAAAGTACAAAAAGGGTCGACCAACTGTTTGAAAATGAAGCAGTATTTTAAAAGCAACAAATACCAAAAACCCTAACATCATACTACTTCAATTTTACAATGTCAACACTGAAAGTAGTAAACAAAAAAAAACAATGAATGAGACCACCTGGGGAATTAAGCTACAATGAACACAATCAACCCTGATAACCTTCTTCAGTTACATTCTGTTGTGATTTTCAAGGTTCAGTTCTAGCTGGCTGAGGAAAGAGATTATAGGATCTGGATAAGGTGTACAGACATTGAAGCAGCAAAAATTAAACAATGTTCTAGCACCCACTGCATGTTGAAGAAATTAGTATTAATATAGTAATGAGTCAACATCATTTTTTCACTGCTCAAAAACCTACAGAATAATCCCTAAAAGGCTTTATTCATGTAAAAATTAAAAAAGCATTTTAAGTAGCTAAATGCATATGTTAAATTTAAATCAACAATATATTCATTTAGAGATGATGTTTCCCTATTAAATCTGAGGAAGTTCTAGGACTACAAAACTAATCTATCTTCAATAAAAAGGAAACCTTTGGCTTTTGAGTGAATCTGTCCTTCAATGCCTTGGTAGCCAAGTGAGCTACCCTCCATACAAGGTTAAGAGATCCAGTCTTTGATAAGCTGAACTGGAAAGCATTGAAAACAAACATTATTACTCATTCAAACTACGAATCCCATAATTCACTTTCCCTTTTCATCCTTGCCCTCCAGAGCAGCAGAGTTTTGGGGAAAGGAGGAGGAAAATCAAAAGGAGAAAAGGGAAGAAAAACTGATTCATTTAGGAATTTAAATTATTTAATCTTTTATTACTTGACCTACTATTAAGACAATCTATAACAAAAAGAATAGCATATATTAACACACATAGTATAATCAGACTGGTAACCAGGAAACAATACAAAATGGTCCTCTGGCCATCTATACTTTCTAAAGCAGATCTCATAAAATGACTCACCAAATCCAGAAATGACGACTCTGTAAGCCCTGAATATCAACAAGACAAATTATGCCAACTGTGATTTCTGACATATACTTCGATTGCACAAGTATAAAGCTTTAAATGTAATAATTAAGTCTAGGCTTATCTTAAAATATCTATGATTAAAAACTACAAAAGGGAGTACAACAAGCCAAATGGTTTGAGTAAATCTCACTTAGAAAGCAGTATACGTATCTAAATACACATGACAATGATTATCCACATATATGAAACTAATTTCATGGCATTTTACCTTAATTCATTTAAGTACATTTTTGGCATTTAAACAAAGATCGAATCAAGCTTTAAGCTGATATGAACATGACTTTTTTGTGTTTTAAATATAAAAAAGGTAGCCAAACACAAAGTACAGATCATAAAAGCCTCATTTAATTTAGATATTGGAAATTTAAAAAGGTTACAAGGTGACTTTCTATTCCACACTAAAATGTAAATAAAATGTTTCAGATTTCTATTCCAAGTTAGTAACAACCTACACACTTTTCAAACCTATGAAAAAAACTACCCTTGCCAATTTAAATTGCCTGGGAAAGGATAGGAGAGGGGATTATTAATCAGAACCAATTGCACACAGGTGGAAAATACTTGCAGTCATTCCCAAATATAATCCTACGTTTTATATATATATATATAAAATATATATATATATATATATATATATATATAAAATCACAATGAAAATAAAAGTGCCTACATTATGGAACCGTGAAATCTTGTTTAAAAAATAACAGTAATAAAAATAAATCATTAGTAAGATTGGAATAATGTAACACATAAGGCTGGAAAATACTGAAATACAGTTAAGACTTAAAACACAGTTTACTTAAAAAAAGAAAAACAAAGCCAGAGAAATACAGACTGGACAGGAAAGCCAGACTTTCAGCAGAATGGCCTGTTAGACCACACTCAAGCATACCCTACCTTTCTCTACCCCATCAAAAATTCTACTTGACATAAAAAAAGGAGGAGAAAAGGTTAAACCCAAGTATAAAAACTACTTCCCAAATCTCACACTGCAATGAATTTAGTGAGGGAAAATTTGCCAAAACTAACTTTATCTACCAGGTTCCTCCCTTTAGCAACATAACCTCCATTTTTCTGTATGATGTGTGTTTGATCTGAAAACCTTTTTTGTTTCAATACTCGGAATCGAACTCAGGAACTCGCACTTGCCAGGCAGGCACTGTGCCACTGAGCTCTCTCCCTGGCCCATTTGTTCCATCTGTATATGCTCAGCAAATCCAATCTCCAGGAATCAGAGTTTACTCAGCACAGGAGATGCTACTGGAGTTGACTGAAGGACATAACATAACCAAACACTCTAAAGTAACAACCAAGAATCCAGATCTCAAATCCTTATTCTCAATGTAGCATCTTATCATCAGTATTTGGCACTAGCTGGATAAAGTCTAATCAGAATCTGTGGGCTGAGGCAGATGTAGTTAAACCATAACCAGTATTTTCAGTCTATGACTCAGTTTCAAACTTAAAAGGCAGATACAGATAGGCATACATAAAAACACTGCAGAACTAGAGAGGAAACATTAATAACAAGACAGACAAATCAGGCAAAAATACCACGGCAAATGAAAATTCAGGTTGAGGGAGCTGAAACAATCATATTCATCTAATGATTAGCAAAAATGGGCATTTTTCCACCCTTAAACTAGTTTAATTACAAGCATATGTCTTTCTACTACACTAAGATTTTCTATATCCATTTTTCCTAATTCTTGGGGCTTAATGAGAAATCATTCATTCTATACAGAAGTACAGCATATATGGCCACACTCTAAATTATGTTTATAACTGGAAATTGTATCACAGAAATCTTGAACTGTTTCATCAGTACTCTATGGTAATCACTGGTGCTGGGAACCACCCTCACCAAAAAGCATGGCACTCACTGCCCAGCTGAACACTAACACTGCACAAAGAGAAGCAGTAACAGCGAAGTCCACGGAACTCTTATATTTATTTGTGTACGAGCATTTAGTTAATGCTCCAAATTAAAAACGGTGCAATAAAAGCAACTTGTAATAATATAAAGACAAGAAGCTGTAATGCCAGTGGCCACTTGGCGCTGCAAGGAGGGGAAACAACGCAGCTGCAGAGTGAAGCATGGACTAAGGAGGAGGGAGGCACAGGAGGCACATTTCACACAGACAGTGACACGAAACTGTTGTACTGCTGGATGTTTCTTTTGAGGATATCTGAGCACGGGCCAAGGACACGTTCAAAACGAGGCCGGTCCAGCTTAACACACTTCAAGGTCCCACGTGAAACCACAGTGGCAGCACGAGGACGATTCATCAGCAGTGCGATTTCACCTGGACAAGAGAAAGGGGACGGGTAAGAGCAGGCCAGCTCCTTCAGTGGAAAACATTTGCTTATAAAGTGCATTTCTGAGAAAATAACAAAGGCTTGTTTCCCACACAACTTCCTACAGGCCACAAGTGCACTTTAAAAAAAAAAACTTATCAAAGCCAGGTGTGATCCCAGCTCTTCAGAAGCTAAGGCAGGAGAACACAAATTCAGGGCCAGCCTGACAGACAGTCCAAGGCCAGCCAGACCACACAAAATCCTGTTTCAAAAAACAAACACAAACACCGACTAATACATAAGACAATGCCAACAACTCAATAATGAATAGAGTAGGGATCAAACTCAGAGTCAAGAAAGCAATTAAAATGTAAAGTTCAGAAACAAGTATCACGTTTTCTCTTACGGGATCTGGAGAAAAAACTAAGATGGTATGAAAGTACGAGGGAGACTATTAGAGAAGACCACGGGAAAGAGGAAAGGTGGACCTAAGGGTATATTCAAAGTACAAGTATGCAATGAAAATGCCATGTACTAAAACCCATTACCCTGCATAATTAAAATGCAATAATGAAAATATATGAAATTAAGAAAAGGCAAAATTATGAAACACTACAATGCTTCACAGAGCAGTAACAAACTACAGTGCGTATTTAACATGAGGGAACCCAACATACCGAAATAATCAGAAGGTCCCAATCTTCCCACTTCAACAAACTCTTCATTTTCTGACCGACGCTGTAGCACAGCAGCTGTCCCCTGTAAGAAAATTGCCAAAGAACTAAACAAATACTTTCTAACCCAGAGTGGCATTGTTTTTTTAGCTATCTCACAAAAAATGGGGGAGGGGGAAATCGCTATTTCAACACATCAGTGTTTGTGCAGTAAAAGGAATGGAAAAGTTAAGTCCCGTATCACTTTGGTTTCTATTTAACCAGCATCCCTTGCTTGCAAGCTATCCCTTCTTATCAAGCTAACGTATCTGCTAACCACACTTGGTTAGCAAACTGCAGACAGAGGACTAAATCCCATTTTTGTCCATTTTGTAAATAATACTTTATTCTAATACCAATACTCACTCATTTATGTGTATGGCTGATTTTGCACTAAGTCTCCGAATTTGCTACTTGGATACACATGGCAGGTAAGATTACCTGCTATATATTTCTAGGGATTGTACAGATGTAAAACATGGTAACTTACAGAATTTATTAACCACCTTTGACCTTGATTTATCAAACACCCCAAACACTTGCATTTTATCAAGGATGGTGCATAATCATTAAAGTTTTACAAGATAGTGCAAATGGGTAACTCAGTACCTGTCTACTTATATCTAACACCCTTATAAAATTAAGGCCCAAACTTTTAAAATAAAGCAGGCTAACAGGAAAACCAAACAAAGTAAAAGATGATTTGTAAATAAAACTATCCAATATTCTCAACTAAAGCTGTAAATCAGAATTAATCCTTTTTTTCACTGCTGGTGTACAACTTTGTAAAGGATCAGATGTCAAGTTCCTCACCTCTAATATAATAAAGAACTCATCCCCTGGTTCTCCCTGAACCACAATCTTCTGCCCATCTTCAAACTGGACTGGTTCCAATGCATCAGCTACTGTGAGACGTTCCCACTTGTCCAGAGACTCTGAAAGACAAAAATCCAAATTTCCCTATATTACTTGGTGCTAAAAATGTTGAAGTATACTGGGATTCAACCAAATAGCCCTTCTCCCTCAATACTCTAGTACTACTGTCTCAGAGAAGATGCAGCAATGGCACCTATCTTTAAACACTGCTTGTCTCAACAGAAGCCCCATATCATCCGCAGGTGGCTCTTACATACTTTATAATTTATACCAACTGCATCCAATGGCTAAAAATTTTTTTTAAAAAATGTGACCATTAAGAGTTCTTGAAGAATATCATCAATGCAAATCAAACCTACAATTACAGAATCCAAAAGTAACACTTTCACCATCCATATTTTTCTAAAGTTTCAATCAAATAAAATCTGCAGCTGAATTTATGAAATAGGAAAATAATGTTGGTTCCCAAACTTAATTGAGACACTAAACAAATGTGACTTTTTAAAAGGGTACATACGGGAAAAAAGTCAAGTCACCGTATCAAGACAATAAACAAAAGATTATCACTATACAGAAATTCCTAACCTTTCCTCTAAACTGTAAGTTCTAGTGTTTCTCAGTCTACATAACAACACACATAAAAGTATCTCCAATTATCTCCAATCCACTACATAGCTCCAAGTCTGGCATCTCTGTAGAGGATGCCAGCAAATGATATCTAATCTTTCCAGGGATGACAGATGACATGGATTCATGGAAACAGTCCCCAAAACCAATGGACTCAGTGACAGAAGAAGGGACGGAATGTGTCCCAGCAGAATAACTGAATGTCTGCAGTCAGAAAAGGAGTCTTTGTAACGCCTGTATTTAGGAAGAATGAGCAGCATCTATACTTTCAGAAAGCTTTTCCCAAGTCCACTTACCATAGTCAGTTAAACCTTCCATACATTTCCACATGCTTTTCATTACTATTAGCAAAAACATAAATCAGCTAACTTTTTAGGAAAAATAGGTTCTGTTGAGTATCATTAATATTTTAACAGTTCTCTACACAAATCTTCCAAAACTCACCTAAAATAGATACTTTACTAAGGAATTCTTCATACATTTTTCGCTTTCTCAGCGTGCTTCCCTATAAATTAAAAAACACATTATTATACAATGTTGTGAACAAATAAATTTCAAATAAACTTTTAAAAAGGTCAAAGTTTTGTGCTGCTTCTGGATCAGTGACATTTTTTGGAGGCAGGCAAGTTAGCTTTGAATCCACTACATAGCTCAGGCTGGCCTGGAACTCAAGTGATCCTCCTGCCTCAGACTCCCGAGGGCAGGGATTACAGGCATATGCTACCACACCCAGCTTACTTTTCTTTTTTTGTCATCATTTTTCTTCATGCTGAAGACAGATGAGCCCCTATTCAACAGTACAAAAAGCTCATTGTAACCTGCTCCCAAAACAGTAGGCACCTTGGCCAAAAAAGGTATGTAACACCACCAAGTAGTGAAATACCAAGTAAGCAAAAGATCAGTTCTTCAAAAATCATACACCTTGCACAGCACATTTCCCCACATCTCCAACTACCCACATAGGGAAATAAACTGCTGCCGCTTAAAGACTCAAAAAAAGAGAAGAGTCCCACTGCCCTACACACCACCAAGCTATCTTAGCTACATAATATGTCAAATGCATCTGAGAGAAAAAGGAAGAAACACACTTTCCTTTATAATAAAACTTCTTTATATGGTAAAATGCCCAGTGTGCCCTACCCCACCAAAAATACACATACCTATATACATTATGCGGGTATATACCTGCATATATACTACACACAGACTGCCCTCCACAACCACAGGTTCTGCAAACACAAATTCAACCAAATGCAGATTAAAAATACTCAGAAAAAAATTTTATCTGCACTAAACATGTGCAGACTTTTTTAGTAACATTATTCTCTAAACAATTAGTATAACAACTATTTATATATCATTTACTTTGTATTAGGACTAGTGAGTAATCCAGAGATGATTTCAAGTGTGGGGGAAAAGGAAACTTTGTACATTGTTGATGGGAAAGTAAACTATGGAGCCATTATGGAAATCAGTACCGAGATTCTACAAATAAACTAAAACTAGAAATCCCATTTGACCCAGGTATTTCCTCCTTAGATACCATCCTGAGCAAGCTAAAGACAACACACTACAGTGATACATGCATACCCTTGTTTACAGCAGCACAATTCCTAATAGCTGAATCATGAAAGCAGACTGTATGTCCATTATCAGATGAACAGAAAAAAGGAATGTAGTATTATAGTGCAATGCATACTACCCTGCTACAAAGAAAGAGAAACTTAAGTCACATGTAGAAAAACAGATATATCTTGACACCATAATGTTAAAAGAAATAAATCAGACACACAACATAAATGTCACACGGTTTCAGAAACCCCAACTACAAGTAAAGAGCAAAATAAGAGATTGTAGTAAGTAGGCAGAGACAAGATCTTTCTCAAATGGGAAGGTAATCCAAAGATGGAAGGTGAAGAAGAGGAAAAAGGGAATTAGGATGTGTTAACATACATGTACCAACACCATGAAAGGTATGTAAACCTCATGTACTGAACACATGTACTAATAAAGAAAACTTTTTAAAGTATACAGAGAATGCACACGTTATATGCAAACACTGTACCTCTTATGAAGAGGACTTGAACATTTGTGAATTTTGTTATGTATATAAGGGATTGAGAAATAAAGATTTCAAATTACATGTATATATTTCAAACATACACACATTAAAAAAATTCTAAGTACATCAGACTTCTATTTTCAAATGTCCTGACAGGCTGTGTAAAAATTTAAGAAAGCCATTCCGAATGGCAAATGCCATTAGCCAAAACTTAAACATCATAAAGTTCTTAAAAACCTCTTGCTGTATTAATAGACTCTCCCAATAGTTTATTATCTCCTGGTGAAAGGAGACATGATATATGTACTGCTGAGAACCCATCTCCAATTTAGAGATGCCAATTACTTCTGAGTGGTCATAAATAATTCTATGCACTTAAAAGCAACCCTGTCAGACAATCTGTGGCGCATAGGATTAGGTAAATTAACATGCACCTATAGGCAAATCAACAGATTTCTAAACACAACCTGACCATTACATATACATATTTTGTTTTCTGTGTTATTTCTGACCAAATTTTTGTTCTAAAAGATCACTGCTCAAGTGACAACGGATAATGCTACACAGGGCTCAACGCAAAATATCTAATCATTAAAAATAAGGTACACTGTCATTTCAACTTGGTGGTACCATTCAAACATTATTTATACAGATCAGAATTATATGTCACATTCCAAAAACCCATATGCTTTTACCATAAGGATTCTTCTATAGCTGTCTCGGTCAATACCCCATAGCTTCACATTGGTCTTCGCTTTGACAGTGGCTGCTCTAGGTGTTCCATAAATCAAAGCCAGTTCTCCAAAGCTCCCTCCTTCCCCAACACTGGTTGCCCATTCATTGTTCACATATACCTAAAATGCAGATGACAACTAAGAATTTTTCTATATATATATACATACACAAAAATGTTTTAAAAACTTCTCAAACCTCTCTGAAAGATCAGAATCCTTGTTTAAAAAAAATACACATTATGTTTACAGAACACAGCAAAGGGAAATAGTGGAATTCTTACAATGACTTAAATATGCAATTATCTGATACGAAAAAGGTAGTCTGTGGTAATGATGAAAGAAAAATGTCAGCCAAACAGTAATCCTAGTAACACATTTATCACACATCTATGTGTGAGCACGGCACCAAAGCATTTTACTTGCATTCGGTTGCTGAATTTTCTAATAATCCTGTAAGATCAGTGGTATTTTTGTCCTCATTTCATTTGGCAAACACGATTTACAGAAGAAACCTATATTAAGTTTCACAGCTAATGGCCAGTTGTAGACACTCCTTTACTGTATTTTCATCTTCCCAGCATTCATGCACTTTACTCTGGCAAAAGTTGCAGTTACGAAATTACCTCTAAAAAGTTTCTCTGTGTCACGAAAGTATTCAGCAAAAGATGCTGATGAAATCTGACATAAAAGAGCAGTAACAGCCCTTCAGAAACACTATGCTTATTGCTTACAAGCAATAAAAATCAAACCACTGACTTCCAAGATTAGCAAATTTCTGTTGTAATTAAATCTTACATCCATTTCTCCTTGATCAATCACATAGAAGTTATCCCCTTCATCACCTAAGAGTTAAAAAAGACCAAATAAAGATCAAATTAATATATAATAAACTCAGTGATGCTTTCCTAAGAGCATACTAACATGAACATGATCTTTAAGGAAAAAAAATCCAGCAGTATACTTTCAAAGTCATAGGGCTAATCAATTTTGTTTTCAGTACTTTCACGTCAAGTGCCTAAAAAAATAAAATACATGTACAAATTTATTAACTACTATCCCTTTTATAACAATACAAGGAATAATTCAAATACCTAATAACAAAATACCAAATTGCCACAAAATTTGAAATTAGGTAATTTAAGAAGACTCACGAAAATCTCAATAAGAAAAAAAGAAGTTATCCCAAAAGGTTATATTCATGTTAAATCTGTAGGAGACAGAGAACCTTACAAATACATGGCCTTACATAATAATGGCAGTTAACAGTTTAATAGGGTTAAAAACCAATAATATAAAGAACATATGAAATCTATATTGTTCTGAAATTCAACTTAAAAATAGGCATTTCTTTTAGCAATCATAAACAATATCGTGTTAGAAATAGTAATATCTTAATGAATGTATTTTTAGTGCTAAGAATCATTTTTAAGTTTATAGTCAGTTTTTTGTTTTTGTTTTTTTGTCTTTTTCATTTTTATTGGTACCAGGGATCGAACTCACGACCGCCTGCTTGCAAGGCAGGTGCTTATGCTGCTGAGCTAAATCCCCAGCCCTATTTTTAAGTTTAAAAAGTAAGAAAATCCAATAATATTAACAGAAGGAAAAGTGGAAGGATCAAAGAGGAAAACTCTAATAAAAGAAAACCAAAACAATCAATCCTCCAGTCTCATCTGCTCTTCCATATCTAAACTATGTGTCACAGAAACAGCAGCCCTTACCTTGCTGAATAACCGTCTCTCCGGCAATAAAAGAGACTGGAAACATGGCATCAAAAATATCACTGCAAAAGACAGAAAGCCTAGTGTTACAATTTCACAAGTCTCTTCTATGAAATTCCAATACTAACCTAGAATTAAAACTCCCAGATTTTTTAGCTCAACTGTCACTTGATGAACAATAACAGGCTTAAAACTTGCAATAATGCTGACAATAGTTTGATACTATACCCTAACTGTAAAAACATTATAAAGAAAAGAACCTGTTCTTACCTTCTTTCATTATCATCAAGATGTGAAAACAGCACATTTTTTTCAATGGCTTTGGCTAAAGCAGCCATTGTCTTATAGTCTTTGGGTATAACCTAGAAGAGAACTGAAGGTCAAATGACAATTCCATACACCAAAAACATTTCATGTTAACTTGCATTTCAATTAAATGTCAGGCCACATTATGGTATTTAAATAACTGTTTTGAATTACATATTTTCACTACAACACATTTAGATGATCTTTGACTTACAAAGTACTCAAGTATTAACTAATCAATTCCTTTACCTATAAATAGATCTGTATTTAAAGGCCAGTACTTGGTTCCTATTAACTACACAAACAAAACACACCTGAACAATAATACCATTCTGATTGCAAAACTAAGCTTGCCCTGAGCTACACCACAGTCTTTTTTATTTTTTTTAGGGCACACTATTTGTTTACAAAAACCTATCCCATACTTTTCTACTATAAATTCACACTTCAGTGTAATCATAGCCAGCGCTGGTGTCAGTAGCTGTGCTTGGGGAATACAAGAAGCAATCTCTGTGTTTAGCCAGTTGGTGCAATAACAGCAAGGTGTATGTATACATGCGTAAGTGTCAAACCAGACTTTTTTAGGCACATCATGCTCTACCTAATAGGTTTGGCATATATTTACTTGCACATCACCGGGGGTAAAATGTACTCACACCACTCTTCTGTTAAGAAAACATGTATTTTACCATAAGTGGAATGTGGGTGTGACTCACAGTAGATGCACCCACGGAAAGCAAAACTCATCTGTGTATTCACCCAGTCGGCAGACAAATGGCAAGGTACACATAGGAGATCTAAAGCAACAGATGAGTTTTACCCATGAAATTATGCTCATTGCTAAATTTCTGTGCACTCAGGATTTGCTCTTAAAAATTTTTTCTTTTGATTTTGCTGGTAGATGTAGCATAGTTCAGCACAACAGCACATAAAAAACCAGATTTTCAAGTTATGGAAGAGGTCAAAACTGAATCATCAGATTACTCATGCACAGATGATGAAGAAATGACTTTAATGTTGGCCGAGTAAGCCAAAGTTCCTGTGACAGTGAACTGGAGCAAGAATCAACCAATACAGATCCAGAGAATCCAGACCTTCTTAATTCACAAAGACAACAGCAATGTGAGTACATATCTAACAAGTCAAAATGGTCACCCAATCAAATGGACCAACTTAATGTTAGAACTAAGTTCAAAAATAGTGAGAATCTTAGCAGGGATGACACCTATTGGACGGAGTATCAACACTGGCATTCAAAGTTGGAAATTACTTTTTAAAAGATAAAATGCTACAAGATGTTGTAAAATACACAAATGATGAAATACAAGTAAAACACTCTGTATGCACCAACAGCCACACTCAAAAACTTATTTATTATGATACCTCACTCGCTGACCTGAAAGCATTCATTGGACTGCTGCATCTTGCAGGGATTTCTCATGGTCATTACAGGAATGTAAAAGACTTATGGAAAAGCAATGAGTGTGGGCTTGAGGTCTATAGAAATCAACAATGATACTGAAATTTGGTTTCCTTCAAAACTGCCTGAGATTTGGTAATAAAACCATCCATCAAAAAGGAAAAGAACTGATAATCTGGCTGTTTAAGAAATTTATGGGTAACTGTCAAACAGTTTAAATATTACTCAAATACATGACTACTGATAAACACCTTGCAGCATTTCATGGTCACTATAGCTTCAGACAGCGTATACCAAAAAAAAAAAAACTCTTCAAAATACAGCATATAAATGTATGCCCTTGTAAATGTGAAGACCTCTGCTTTAATTTAAAAATTTATCCTGAAACAGTCTCCAGGTCTTTAGTCACATAGTAATAAATCAAATTATGTTGCAAACAGACTTGTTGCTCCCATCCCCAAACTAAATGGGACTGTGACATTCAACAATTCATTTACCAGTTTCCAATTGATGCTACATTTGCAAAAAGAACACCAGCTGACCAGTGTAGGAACTGACACAGGAACAAGGCAAAAATTCCAAATAAAATGCCGCAATTTCAAAACAGGAGGTAGTATAGTACAATCTTTGGAGTTCAGGAAGATTTACACTGGTCTTGTTTATGGGGGAAAAAAAGAAACTTGGCATGGGAATATTGATAGGGAAACTTCAAAAAAATGGGAGCATGAAATGGTAACTTTCTACCACAAAAGTAGATGTTGTTGATGAATTATGCAGCAACTATGATGTCACTCAAAACACAAAGCACTGGCCACTGATTGTATTTTACTCAATCCCAAATACATATGGCATAAATACTATGAGAGTTTACAAAAAGAATAACAAGAGCAAAAATACCATAGAGGAAGTTTCTTAGAGGACTAGGACTGGTCCTCATAGGAAACTATTTACAGCAGAGGAAAACCAAAATGTTTCTGTCCAGGAAAAAAAACTGGAGCATACTGGTGAGCTGATAGGTGAACAGGCAGGAACAGCATCACAAAGACCTACTATGACAACTGTGCCCTACAAAAAAGGACAAGAACAAAACATCAAGTGGCAATACATGTGCATGGAACATGCAGTTTCCATGGGTAAAGACAGCCTAAGGTATGTCAGTTGAAGCAAAGATTATTTCTGTTATACAATTTTATTGGTATTTTCATTATAGTTCATATAGAAATTTATTTCTGAGGTTTTCTTTTTAGGTTTTGTAAGCAAATACACAGTTAATGTGAAAATGTCAATGTTTATTCTAATCATGCAATACATGTTAAGAATTTAATGTTTTATTTTATTGGTATATATAACAACACATTATATAATAAGAACCATCTGATAAAATAGCAAGACCAGCAAGATGTCAAGTATGTCCTACAAAAAAGCCAGGCAAGCAAAACACATGTGCTGGCAGGTAAGCATCAGGTGTGTATAAAGCATGCTTTTGTCACAAGTAAAGATTGCCTCAGCTTTTTGGTTTTTTTTTTTTTTTTTTGGTAGACTTTTCTTGGTATTTTCATTGTAGCTCATAAAGAATTTATTTTTGTTATTTTTTTAGACTTTGTATACCAAAAAATAGTGTTGAAAATTTTGATGCTTTTTCATAAGAAGTATTAAAAATTCAACTTTTAAAAAATATTTTTCCTGTTACACACTTCTTGTTTAATAGAATAAAAGCTCATAAAATTAAAATTGCTAGTTACCAACAGAATAAGAATAAATGTGGGTTTCATATACCACAATGCCCCTTTATGACAAAGTATGGTATATACCTCACTTAATACAGGATCACACTAAGTTGCCCAGGCTGGTCTCAAACTTGGGATCCTCCTGCCTCAGCCTCTTGAAACAGTGGGATGAAAGGTAAATACCACCATACACAGCTAAAACTAAGTATTTTTTTAAACTGCTATCTTTTGGTATTTGTTAGTTTTAGAAGCCCCAACAACCTAGAATTGTGCACACACACAAACCACCCCCACTGCCCTACCAAGGCTATTAGCATAACCCAAAAAGACCAGCTGCCTTTGAAAAGAACATAGTAGGATGAAGACTGTCTGATAAAAGGTGTTTTGATACCAGAAGATAAAAGGGAGCAATGACTGCTTCTTCAAATGCAAAACAGCAGGAAATGATGAACCCCCCAAAATGTAGCTTTGTCCTGCACTGGTTTATAATCACTGTTGCTTATTTCCTCCGCTACCACGCTATTAGAAACGTACTGTCCAGGATACAATAACTACTTCTGTCTTTATTTGAAGTATTACATGCAACTCATCCAAGAAGACTAAACTGTCAAGTGCATCCCAAAAATGTTTTTCTCCAATATTCAGATAGCAAATCTACCTTTCTAACATACGATGCAGCATCTTCCTCTGTGTAGACTTCCGCACTGATAGCACCACGTCGCCGGCGACCTTTCACTACTGGGTTGGGAGGGGGAGGAGAGATTTCATCCTCTCTTGAGTCTGTACGGGTTCCTGCTTTCTGCAGATTCTGAATCTGTTTTGCCTCCTCCTGAAAGAAATTACAGGGATATAATATAAGACACGTCGGCATCAGTGTGTGAAGTTGCTATTCATGTATTCTAATGACAGTCCATCACAAGGCACCTCAAACCTCTTGTCAGGGTTTATGTCTGTGACCCCAGGACTCATGAGTTTGCACTGTACATTTGTGATTGGTTCATTGTCTAGTGCTTGGATTGATGGTCAGTGCTACACCCACAAAGGGGTGGAGCCAGAATGTGATGTAATGGCAGCAAGAAGGTGAGTCTCTTGCCGGTTTCTGACTTTCTGTTTGCAGCTGCCATGAAATGCAGCCCTGCCATGCCACCCTGCCTTGGAGCCAACTGAGTATGGACTGAAACCTCCAAAAACTGTAAGAAATAAACCCTTCCTTTCCCAATTTGGGCTTCAGTATTTTGTCTCAGCGATGAGTATAAAGTAACTAAGACACCTCTTCATCTAGTACCAGTGGTAAGGAGAAAATGCCAATTCCAAATAGAAACAAAACTCAGTCTATAAAGAGATTCTTCCACTGGACTATTTCTTAGATGATAACAGATTAAGTATACTTTAATAATCAATATAAGTCATTAGCATGAGAACAGAACATAAATAAAAATTAGATGTTCATTTTAATAAGGCATTGAAAGCAATGATTTATGATGCAAACAGCAATATACTACAAAACAAAATCCTGGGAATTAGAGGTTCTTTTAGTAAAAGATAGCCCATCCACCCATCCAAAAAAGCACATTATCCAAGAATAATAACTCAAGCAAAGTAAAGTAACCAAGAATGCCTAAATTACTGAGTTATTTCATTAATTCAATGAGCATTTTCTGGCTTTGCTAGGTCACAACCTATGCTAGGCAATGGGATTATAAACACAAATAGCAGGAGGTCCAGAGCCTAAAGAATTCACATTCTAGCCTGAGTCACAGATATAAACAAATACTAAAGTAAAGACAACCAAGAATAAGAACTGGTTTAGCAATGTTCTTCCAGCAAAGCTAGATGCATTCTTTATTATCAGGTTTCACATTTGAAGTTAAAGAGTAACTTGTTCTTAAAAACTGTTCCTTATTGAACCAATTCACATAAAAACTGAGATCAACTACTAAACATTCTTTTTTTCAAATTTAAAGCCTTAAAAAGAAATTCCTCTCAATAAAGAATAAGTTAGTAAGCCTGAAATAAAAAGAAAAAATAACACATATCATCTACTTTTTTACTCACTTGCCCCATTATCCATTATTTTTCTAAACCACATTTAAAATTCTAAATGAACTCAGCATTAAAAATGAGTAGAAAAATATGATAAAAATTTGAGGGCCGGGGGTTTAGCTCAGCAGCACAAGCACCTGTTTGGCAAGCACAAGGTCTTGAGTTCGATCCCCACTACCAAAAACAAAAACAGTAATTTGAAATCCCAGTTTTTCGGGGGAGGGGGGTAATGCTTTTTTGTGCTACTGGGGTTTGAATTTAAGGCCTTCATACTGACCTATATCCCCAACCCTTTTTTAAAACAATTTATTTATTTCAAGACTGGGCCCAGCCTGGGCTGGAACTTGCTATCCTTCTGCTTCAGCCCCCCATGTGCATCACCACATCCGGCCCACAGCCCTGCTTTGGACATCAAGATAAACATAAAACTTCTGCTGTACATATTTAGCAGCCAACAGTGATAACACCACTGCTATTAGCGGAATCATGCCTCGTTTTTCCTTTGTTCAGAGAGAAGAGTGATACTTATTTCTCTCCTGCCACACTGGAGTTAAATCCAGTCTTTGTATTAAGTTACATCCCCAGTACCTTTTCTTTTTTTTAAAATTTTGCTAAGTGCCCAGGCTGCAGTCAGAATTTGCAATCCTGCAGTCTTAGCCGCCCAGAATGCTAGGATTATAGCTGTGCACCACCACGACCAGCTCAATTAAAAAAAAAAACACAACAAAAAAATATAATGAATTCGTGTATCTCTCATGGCCACTGATTTTACTACTTTTCCCTTATCTTTCGTGGTACTGAAGATTGAACACAGAGTCCTTGTATGAAAGTACATCACCAAAACTTTTTTATTTATTTTGAGATAGGGTCTAAGTTAATAGCCTGGGCTTGAACTTGCAATTCTCCTGCCTCAGCCTCCCAGAGATTACAGGAATCTACCATGCCCAGTTTGTATTTACTTCTTGACTCAACAGTAATTCTTGCTTCGAGAAATTTATTCTAAGATATGCACATACATAAAATATATATACAAAAATATTTGTTTTTATGAGTGAGACATCAGAAACAACCAAACTAAGATCAGAAGAAATTATTAAATGTAATATAGCCATACAATGGAATGTCACACATGTGTTACAAAGAAACGGAAGCTCTTTTATGTATCAATTTATCCCTAAATGTCCACATAATATCCCCCAAACATTGCTTCTTCCAACAAAGGTAACTGGGTAGAAGGAAATCGTTTATGGTTACACCTTTTTGTACCTGTAGAATTTTGAATCAGGCATAAATGCATAAAAGCACACTTGTTAGAAAACCACTTTATTTTCATCCTAGTAGTTCCAATAACTAGTATTTTCTATTCCCTGTTAAAACAGAACTATGAAACTCAAGTGTGCCCCCAAGTTTAAAGAGTACAAAAAACATACAAATTCTACTCTACAAATCTGTCATTAGCATTTTGCAAAACTTCAGAAAAAAATTCACAAATCTCATTTGGAACTATGTTTTACTTAACTCACTTTCTGGTATTTCTGAAGTAACTGTCACTGAAGCGCTTTCATTTTAATAGTTTTCTAAATTATGAGTCAATCTGAATATAATCTAATCTTGATGACACAGCCATCGCTGAGAGTCCACCAACTTCTAGGACTTTTCCTCATAACCATACTCTTGCTGCTATTACTTAGCTGTCAGTCTCCCTCTTCAGCACTTCACTGATTAAAACAAAAGCCTGCAATCTACTTGCTGGCTAATTATGCTCTTGAGTCTTCTGGATTATGCTCTGCATTATGTGGTCAACTCTTAGATTCAAATTCTGTCCCCACCACTTACTTATGTTCACACAAGTAGTTTTCCCCTCCTCCTCTTGCCATTCTTCTGGTAGGTGAGATAAACTTCCTACTCCACTGACTTGAGGCTAAGCTATATGACTAGCTTTGGCCACAGAATGTAAGTGGACCTGCCACAGGAATAACATGAGTATATTTTGGCTCTTCCCTCCCCGTCCTCCTCGAGCTTCTATTCTTTTTCTGCCTTGAGAACAGCATGCCCTGTATAGTGGCTGTTCCTTCCACTCAACCCTAGAACATGACACATGGAATGAAGACAACAAAATGGCCTGAGCCCAGAAAAGCTGTGTATGACCAAGCAATAGAGTCTGGTGACCAAGAAATAAGCCACTGAAATTCTGAGGTTATATGATACTACAGCCATAGCTGACTTACTACACTGTACAACCACAGCCAGGTTACTTCACTTCTTTTGGCTCTGCCTACTACCTCTGTACAATGGTGATAATCACCTGCCTCACACATTTGAAATAAGTCTGCATGCATGTCAAGAGCTTTGCACAATAACTGGCACAGAGGAGACATGCAAAGGTGGCAGTTACTATTGATCCTCAGACACGCAAGGTTCTGATAAATATATGCAATTAATGAACACAACAACTCTAGATAATGGCCTGAATTAAAACACAGCAGCTTTCAACAGACAAAATGAGAGAGGTTTCTAGCATATCACATGGAGCAAACAATTCAGCAAGGTAATACCTAATGGGGAATGAGGTGCTAAGAATGAGACAGTATTCAATATGCATAATATATTAAACAATGGCCTGTTAAAAACTTAAAATCTAGTTCTATGAAAGTCCCAGTGTATATATTCAACTTTAGCTAATGGAGTACACGCAAAAAGCATATTAGGTTATAACTTTTTTAAAAGAGATTTTTTAAAAAGACCAATACACATTAAATCTAAAAATCTCATCTGCAAAGAAACTACCCTAATAATCATTTCTCGCTTTCCACCTTGGCTAATCCTTAAACAGCCCTGTGGTAAACACAGGCTTTGAAACTAGCACCACACATTCAACACTCCCTATAAAAAGATACACACTGGATGTCTCACCAACTTAATCCTCTCATTTGATGATTTCTATTGATGTCCAAAGAAGGAGGATCACCTTACAGTGACCTATTTCAGAACCAGATCTCCAGGAACGCACTTCATTTCAAAACAGGGAACACTTGTGGCCTGGTGCTACAGTACTTCCACTATTTGGAAACTGCTTAAATAAAAGAAAGCCGAAATTTCTACTACATTGCAAAACAGAGTAGATATTCACAGGGATTGGTTAGTTTTTTGTTTTGGTCATTTTTCAAATACCCTAGTCATGGTATTAATACCAATTTAGTTTTCAGGGAAACAGAAAATATCTGCTTACAAATCTATCAAATGTTTTTTAAATCTTAGTGTACAGATTCAATTACTAATCAGTTAGCTGGTAACAACTTGCTCAAATACCCATTCTATTACATAACTACATGAATTAATGATTACATATCAAAGAAATATCTCTCAACTAACTCACGATTGTTACGTATTTATTGTACTGATTTACAAAAGCAAATTACTCAAACATTTCATGATCCAGACCCTGTAATTCATCATGTGAGATAAGCAAAATGAATCACTGTTCCTAACACAAAATTTTCACTTTTCTTAAAAATGCAGATCATACTGACATATATACGATAATGACCAAACGTACAGGGCAAAATTTTGACAACCATCCACCTTGTATCTCCAGAGTGAATTCATCTAGATACACTCTACAGTCTACAGTAAAGCAAGACTTCAGTAGTTAAGAACTTCTGGCCCATCAGTTACAAGCTACCCCACTCATACTACTTTCCTTCCTACTCCTAATGACACTAGTTTTAAAAGGTAAAATAAAGTTTAAGTTTGCTTGCTTTGTTGAAGATAAGCAATAACTATGATTTCTGCACTACTTCTGATCAGTTTTATCTGTTACAATTAGTTTAATGTACCAATTAAAACACAAGTAACACACCTCAAAACCCTTTACCTGCCACAATAAACTTAGCATACCAATATATTTTCTGCTAAGTTCTACCGATTCAGAATTTTTAAATTATCGGAATTTTTTTTGGTAGGTGTGGTGGGGAGACAGCACCTACCTATGTAGCCCAGACTGGCCTCAAACTCACAACAATCCTCCTACTTCAGCCTCCTAAGTGCTGGGACTGCAGGCATAAACCACCACACCTGGCTAACTGTACTGCTTATTTGAACTTTTTCCCAACTTCTTTGGTAACAGAATCTTTTCCTTCCAAAAGGAACAAATTAGCAATTTCCAAAGTATTAATTTAAACAACAGTCAGGGTCATCACATCATTTCTCCACATTTATTTTTACCTTCTCCAACCTCTCAAAGTATTCCCTAAGGAATGCCATGGGTCTCTCAGGCCGGGCAGTGCATAACTGCACAATAGAATCCTTGAGCAGTGCCTGGATGTTGTGCTTCTGGACATAGAGCTCACATTCCCGGAGACTGCGCTCCTCCTCACTGGCGGGAGTACTGCCAGACGCCATGGTTCTCTGCAGGAAAAAGTACACATACACTATCTGTAAGACACAAACACTAATTCAACCTTTTGACTTATTAAATTTAGTAGGCAACTGATTCAGAAATTTTTTCCTCGCTAAACAGGATAGTTACTGTGTGGTAAAGCAAAACTTGCATTCTTCCAAGTGTTTCATTTAGCTCTTGAGTAAGCTATCTGGGCTCTGTAGGCAACTAAGAAGCAGGCTGTATCTTCAGGATGAGCCATCATGCCTGCAGAAGCAGACTGCTGAGGAGGAGTCAGGCCTTAAGGGAATTTCATTCAGTTCTCTCTTGCAAAAGATATCATGATGACGTGGGAAATGTGTAAATGGTAAACAGGACAGAGAATTACAAGGGCACACAAGTCAGCTCTAAGTGAACAACGCAAGGCAGCACAATGAAAAACATGACATTTCCCTTAGATGCACCTATCCCATGGGCATATCCTAACCTCACATCACAAACCACCAGCAAACAAACTGATTGGCCAACTGCTGGCATAAGTAAACATTTTTTAAACCCAAAACTCCAGGTGAGTTTTACAAGCCAACTTTTAAACAACAGATTCCAACTCTAAGTGTACTTCATTTACCAGTGATAAGAGAAGAAAAATCCTATGGGGGGAGGGGGCACTTACCAAGTAAATTTAAATAAAAAATTTTACCAGGACAATTGTCAAAACTTCATCTGGATGGGAAAATATTAAAATGTATGTTTCAAGCCTGAATAATAAATCAACAAACTACATTTAATAGAATATAAAACTAGCTTGAAATGAAGTAAATAAAAATATAGTAAGAAGCAGCTAAACATACCTTAAAACTAAAAACTTAGTAATTTAACTGGACCACTCATACACTATTTTCCTTCCTACTACTATTACTAAGACATTAAGTTTAGGATTAGAGGAGTGTGTCCCCTCCCACTCTGCAATTAAATGCAATATATATCAGATTTTTATATTATACTACACACAAGAGATAAAACATTTAAGAAATACAAGAATAAAGAGCTTTTCTAAATGCTACCCTATTACTTTGTTTTGACAACTTTCATGATAAAGGTCAATGACAACTAGACTCTTAGTTAATAGACCATGAGAAAGTGTGGCTCCACGACAAGCACATAAATTACAAGCCATGGAAAAAGAATCATGCTGCTACTTCAGAAATAAACCCTTAAAAGTTTATATACCCCAGACTTGCACTAGCCACTTTCCTAGGACAGGTAATCACGAAATGAAAAACCACTTCGGTAGAATTTCCTGCATTTCAGATAATTCTGAAAGCTACCAAAATGATAAAGCTACCAAAATGATTTTTTATTGGCAGGACCATCAACACATGCATTCAATTGATTAGAGACTCTTAAGATCAGATCTTTGGCAAAAGTGCTTAATGTGCCTTAAGGAATGAAAATGTTTTTTGTTTGAAACAAATTACAAAAACCAAAACTATGACACTGACAAAAACAGTACACGAACAAAGTATGTTCCAAGAACAATGTGATCATATGAACCCCTGAATGACCAAATTTCATGGCCTTAGTATTTTTAATATCTAGACTGAGTCTGTCTTGTTTATTTTTATGGCCCAACAGTCTTGTCCCTCCCCTAAATTTCACCGCAATCATCACTGCAATTGAAGAAAACAAAAGAAAAAACTATCACCACCTATCTCCATTCTTAGTAAGGAACCCCTCAGATTCTTTCTTTCGCAAGATCAACCACCATAAAATTTTGTTTAATAAAAATTAATTTAAGGAAATATTTACAACTGTGCCTGACTCGATCACATTCCCTAGAGCCTGCCAACTAATGCTTCCTTAGAAGAAGCGCTAGCTTTTGTCCCTCTGCTGGAAAAGGAATCCTCCAATTCGGTAGTGAGTAGGTTGGCACCCCGCAAGCACTGGGCCGAAAGGGTTAAAAGGCACTGCGTATATTTTCGAGAGGAAGGACAGCAAAGTGCCCTTCACTTAGGCCACGGTCAGTCCTACAAAGCGAAGAAGGCCGACTCTTCATCCTATGCTACCTGTAGTGTAGGCGAAGAGGCCTCGGGGGAAAATCGGGAAGGGAAGCTAAAGGCGGCGAAAGGAAATTGAGCCAGACGAAAAAAGCCGAGTGGGCGGTGGAGTGGGCGGATAAATCCCGCGGAGCGAAGGGAAAGTGACTCCTGGAAATGACAAGGAGACGAAATGTAGACGAGAACTGCCGCCGGCTCTCAAATGAACCAGAATCTGGGGGGCAGACGACGGCGAATTCCGGTAAAATCAAGCAGTCGTCCGTCAGGAAATGGGGGAGGGAGTGACGGCTACAAGACGGTGGCGCGCGGGGGCGGGAGGCGGCCGAGTCGTGGGGTGTCGGGGGAGCCCGGAACGAGCGCAGCCGGTGGGGAGAAAGGGGGAGGGGGTGGGAGAGCGAGTTGGGGTGGGAGTGGGGGCGGGACGGCCAGGGGCCCCGTGAGGCAGACGCACGGGTGGGCTGGGACCTCGGAAGCACAACCCACAGCCAGAGACACAGCCCGGAGCGTCAAGTCTGCGGGGAGGGGTAGGGGGTGCGGCCGTCCCCCTGCAGGTCGCTCCCCGTGACGCCATCTTGGATCGGTCCAGCGCCCCCAAACGGGCGGTGGGGCCACGAAGCTCATCAAGCTGAGGCTTCTGGCTGACCCCACTCACCTGCGGCAGGCGGCGGCGGCGGGCGCAAGGCTGCAGGTGTCAGGCTGCGGTACTGCTGAGCTCCGTCAGCGCTTCGCTCGCAGCCGCGCTCCGGTCTGCGATAGAGGCTCGGCGGCGGCTCCACCGGAAACGAACCGGCCGCAGCCAATCAGCGCTCGGCTGTGACGTCAATGCGCCTCGCTTTGGCCAGCGAGGTCGCCTTGGCAACCTTAAAGGTACATGGTCTTTAGTGCTCTCTCCCACCCCCATCCCGCCTCTAGTCAAGGACCCTGAGTTTTCCTTCTGCCCTTTTCATCCTACGTTGTCTGTTGTCCTCACAGCTTTCCTCGGTCCCGCCTAGTGTTTCCCCACTTTCTCCAGCAGGGCTCTTCTCTCCCATCACCCGGCTCCCTTACCTGTCCTTCTCTGGGTGTCACCGGTCCTTGTCCTTCTTCAGCGTCTCTCTCCCTGGCAGTCGGCGTCGCTCTCTCCTCCTGCGCTCCTCTCCTCTCTACTCACTCAGCCCGGCCGCTCCCGCTGCCTCCGCTTTTTCTCCCTCCCGCCCGCCCCCCGCAACCCACGTGGGGCGTCTCGGATGACAGGTGGGCGACTCCGCCCCTGGTCCCCTCCGGGGGAGGCCTCCCACCGGCCGGGATGGGGAGGTTCCCGGCGTATCCAGACCCTCGCGGAGGCCCGGGCGGATCTGCGGCAGCTGCGTCGGGGGCCGGGGCGGGCGGATGCTGGGATGCGCTCGGGCTGGCGGAGCATCCTGTGCTGGGCCTCTGCTACTTGGGGCTCCGGCCTGACATCCGGTCCAGGAAATCTGAGCTTTTCCAAGTCTCTGCTGGGCAGATCAGACGACTTTGTGGTCAGTGCAGGCCACGCTGTCCCTAGGGACACAGGACAAAATAGGGCAGCATTGGGGTCCAAGCGGAAGGAAGCCCAAGCCTTTCTAGAGCCTGAAATTCCCCGAGTCACTGTGCATCACCCCTGTAGAGAGCCTTGAGGGTTGACACAAATGCTCTGCAACAAATCTCAAGTCTCTGGCCTAGTCTGCACTACTCTGAGGAAATTCGGAGAAAAAAAAAAAGCGACATCTTTACTCCTTCAGCCATTTTTTTCCATGAATGACTAAAGGAAAGCAGGAGACAATGTCAGACATACAAACTAGCAAAATGAATAAAGATGACCTTTCTAAGACATGTACCCAAGTTTCCGGCTCGCAGCTATTATAGTTGCATCTTATTATAATTCTAGGGCTGTATGTATAAAAATTTACCATTGCCAGAAAAAGTAGAATGTCTCAATAATAATTTCATACTGAGTCTAGATTAAGGTATTTTGGCTGTGGTAGGTTGAATATTAAAATCAATTTCACCTTCGAATTTTTTAGTCTTTAATATGACTTTTCGAAATTTTCAAATTATAGATATCTCTCATTAGATTTCCATTGGGCAGTACTGCCATAGGAGCCCATCTCCTTCCCTGAATACACCAAGTTATGAGAAGGGTCCTGCTTGTCAGGCTATTTCTTATATTTAGTTTTACGTATGAATATCCCTGCTTTTTCATCATCACAGGAAGCACAGGCAACAAGAGGGGAGCTGCTGACCCCTTTAGAAGGCCGGAAGAAAGCAACTCCTTTCACTGACCCCCCTCGGTGCAGACCACTGGCCTCTCTCCAGGGATGAGTGGAATGGGAGATTAAAGACAGAGCCCCAGTCATATAGGATTTCACCCTTGTAGGTACAAAGAAGGACTGATATACTGAGCCCTAAGCTGGCAAACAGGAGCGGGAACTTGATAGCCTTGAGCAGGCCTGGTCCTGTTCTGGGAAGAAAACATTTCAGTCAGATAAATCTGAGTTTAGTTTCAGGCACTGCTATCTCCGGTAATTGACTTAATCTCCATGAGCCTCAGTTTCCTCTGGCGTAAAAGGATAAACAGGGCTGTGTTCAAGAAAAATAATAATAAGTAATAGAAACAATAACAGCAAACATGCATATAGCACTTACTGTGTCCTGGACAGTGTTCTAAGTACTTCAGACATAATTAGTTTAATCTTTACAGTAATTCTATGATTAGAGGTTATTGTTGTTATAGAAAGAACATGAGACAGCAAGTTAAGTAACTCACTGAAGACCACACAGCTAGTGTGGCTCAAGCCCAGCCAGTGCTCTTAAATCACTTTCCTTTGCAGCGTACATATAAAGTGCCTAGTACAGTGTGGGATATACTAAATAAATGTCAGATGCTTCCGCTCGTCCCCTTCCTAAAGAGCTAGTCAGCTACAGAGTTCAGTCAGAGTGATATATGTTGCACACTTAGTTCCACCTTCCTGAGGCAGTTAAGACACTTAAAAGAAGGAAACAAGCAAACCGGTGACATTGGACCCTGGGCCTTGAGTGACAGCTGCTTCCTTGCTAAGACCTGGCTGTGTGTCCCCATTCAGCTGCATGCAGGCGCCAGTCCAGCCATGGGCCATTTCCTGTGTCAGTCCCACTCAACCTTGTTGAAACTGCCAAATCCTCATATGCTGGAGCTTTAGAAGACAAAAAGGGAAATGGGCAGTAGGTAGTTGAGCCTGGGGTGAGTTCACTGAGACAGCTGTTCTGAAAACCATGCAGCTTCAGTCCTTTCAAATGGTGCAAATGTTCTCTCCGTGCCACGGTGAGGATACGGATTTATAAATTACAATTCAGGAATGACTGTCATGCCACTGTACTTTTCTTCTTCGTTTCCCGTGTCCTGAGGCCTCGTGCCCTTGATTCAAAGTCTGTTAGCCTTTCCTGTGGCCTGTGGCCTTGAGAAGTTCAAAATTAAATAAATAAATATATTTCTAGTCGGATTGTAAGTTTTCTGTAGAATAAAATCCTATAACTACAATACAATATTTGTGAAAATGCAGTGGTATGTTTAATAAGTAGAAGAGGGAAAAAGCAAGGGCTATAGAGGCCCATTTTTAGTGTTTCTTAAAGTTTCTGTTGACTAAACATGGATGTACGTATTTCAGTTTTCCAAGGAGATCTTTTCAGACCATCGCCACATTGACTGTGGTATGCATTGGTCTTAGAGCATTCATGCTTCCTAGGGGACCCTGAAGTTGTGGTTTCAAACACAGACCAATTCCAGCCAATGACACAGTGCCAAAAGTCTTCCAGTGTTTCTCACTGATAAATGCTCATCTAATTGAAGGAGAGTTTTTATCTTGAGGATTGGTTGAAAATGTTAACCAGGAGGGTGGCAATCTTGAGTCTAATCCTAAAAAGCATTCCAACTAAAATTACCTTTATCCAAAACATATCTTCTTCCAAAATGGCATGTGTAAATCCACAGTATTCAACAAGAGAGAATTGCATTAATAAAGATTCACCAGAAAAAATAGAGCCAATAGAGTATATATAGACAGATTTATTTAAAGGAATTGACTAACACAATTCTAAAATCTACAGGGCAGGTACAGAAGAGGCCAACAGGCTTGATCCAGAAAAAAACTAACATGGCAGTCTCAAATCCAAGGCAACTCTTCAGTTTAGGAAACCTCAGTCTTTTTTCTTAAAGCTTTCAATTGTTTGGAAGAGCTATATCCACATTATGGAGGGTAATCCGTTTTACTCAAAGTCTACTGATTTAAATGCAAATAACATCTAAAAATACTTTCACAGCAACATCTTGACTACTGCTTGACCAAAAACCAGGTACCATGCATGACCTAGTCAAGTTAACACCAGATTAACCATCACAAGCATGTTATCCAGCAGAGTCCAGATTTCTGTATGAGTCTCTCCTAAAATGTTCTTTTGAATGAAAATCTCTTATTCTTATGCTGTGTTTAGCTAATGCTAGTCCTCTCTCAGATGGAAGAAATGGAGGGAGAAGAGAAAACAGATCTTTTGGTTTATTTTAGGGAAAATGTCTTTCAGGGTGGCTGAAAGATAAGGTGGAAGATGAGTCTGAAGAATGAGCAGGGCCTGCAGTAGCTCTATGTACCTTAGACCAAGATCAGCATACTTTTCATAAAGGGCCAGTTAGTAAATTGGGGTTTTTTGGACTTTGTGGACCATTAATTGTGATATGTCAAATTAACTGCAGTAGGAAACACCTAGGAGGTGAGTAGCACATAGTTTTGGGTGTGTCTTTGAGGTGTTTTCAGAGGTGGTTGGCATGTAGCCCAGCAAACCAAGGGGGTGGCACCAACTAACAGGCTTATAGCCTGCATGGAATACAAATGGGAAAGAAGGAAATGTGCCTATTTCTAGACCTGTAGTCTACTTGAAGGGTGTGTCTTTGTCATTGTTGGACATCACTGCCCAGTTTATATCAGCCTTCCAGTGCAGACTCACATCGGTGACTCTCCAGTGAGTTTCTAGGCCTTGGGACTTGGACTGATACTGCATCCTTGATCCCTCTTGTCATGTGGCTTTCATCTTTTGGGGGTGAGCAAATACTGGATTCAAGGGTTCTTTGGCACACAGCCAGTATTGTGGACTGTCTAACCTCTGATCCTATAAGCCTAATAAAGTGCCCTACATGATTATACATATATTTTCTGATCCTCTAGAGACACCTCAAATACGCACACCAGCTGGCCACAGGAGCAACTCGTCAGCTTAACCATTGTAACACAGACATGGCCATTGACACATCCATGTGTTCAATGGATGTGTTCCAGTAAAAACTTCTGAACACCGAAATTTAAAATTGATATAATTATTTTTAATCAATCGGCTGTTTTTGAACAGTTTTAGGTTTGGGAAAAAAAAGCAGAAATTACACAGTTCTCCAATACTTTTCTTCACACATAGTTTCCCTTACTATTAAAATCTTACGTTTGTGTGGTATGTATGTTATGTTTGCTGAGTACAGGAGACAGATCTTTGTTGCTGTGACCAAATACCTGAGAAAGACAATTTAAAGGAGAAAATAATTATTTTGGCTTAAAGTTTCAGGAATTTAAGCCCATGATAACCTGGCTCCAAGGCAGAAACATCACAGTAGAAGGGAACAAAAGCAGAAAGCTGGTTTCCCATAGCAGAATGCAGTCTGGGGGGGAATCAAGGGGATGCATCCTTAAGATGCTCATCCTCTGTGAACCCGCCTCCAACTGGGCCCCACCTTCTAAAGGTTCATTTAGCTATAAACTCATGAGTGGATTAATTTACTGATTCAGTTAGCACCTCATAGTCCAATCACCTTTCTAGGTATCTGTTAATCCAGTTAGGCTGAGAATCAAGATTAACCATCACAATGATCCAATACAGATACATTTTTATTGACTGAAGCCCATAGTTTACTTTAGGGCTCCCTGTGTGTGTTGTTCACTCCTTGGGTTTTATTAAATTTACACCCACATGTATACCCGTCATGATGGAATCCTATAGAAAAATGTGGCTGCCCAAAATAACTTCTTGTCCTCAGTCCTTCACCTGAGACTCTTGAGACCTTTGATCTTCCTGTTTCCATGCCTTTTCCAAAATGTCATATCATTTGAATCATACACCATGTAAGCTTTCCAATTTAGTTTCTTCAACTTCGTAACATATATTTATAGATCCATCTGTGTATTTTCATGACTTAATATTT